TTTTGACACCAGACCCACCATTATTATTTGAGATTTTACCCCAACACTCAGATCTGCTGAAAAGGCAAGAGTAGACAATTTGTTTTCTATTGCTGGTTATGAATAACATATGATGTCGCGTGGCTGCAGTAGTGGCTGCGTGATTTTGAAATTCCGAAATTCTAACACTTAAATCTGAAGGGATTTCTTCCAAAACCTGCCTGGGTTCCGAGATTTGCTCCTGAGTCTCTGGGATCATGGCCATTAAGCAGCTTGATCAGGAGCCAGAAAGTCCATTCATGGGCGATGACTTGGGATCTCGTTGGAGTGGGGAGGACAGGACTGGCTCCACCCCCATCCCGTGAGGCCCAAAATGTCTCGTCACTGCTGGCCCAAACCTGACTGTCCAATGGCCTCTGGAGGATGATGGCCACCGAGCCGCCAGGGGAAAGCAGGCGGAGGGACAACACCCTTTTCCCCCTGGGGTGGTCTGGCAACAGTAACCTACTGCGTGGTCTGGATGCATTTCTGCCAAAAGCCACTGGGTTTTGAGAGTCTCTGGGATCATGGCCGTTTGTTTTTAACTTATTTCTTTCAAATATTGCATATGCATGTCTTCTTGAACCATCCCTAGGCCATTTCTAGAACCTTTGTTAAAATGTGAACTGGGAAATGCTTATCTTCTTTGTGGTGTATGAAATATGTACTTCTTGAGTGAGGCGCTCATTTCCACAACATTGAGCTGCTCTCAGATGATTGGGAACTTGCTTATTAACAAAAATACAAGAAAACAGCCACTTGTAAATTCTGGTAGGAATATATTCATGAAATGGTTGAGACTGTCCTGTCAAAATTACAAATGATTATACACATTGATTCAGCAATTCATTTTACATAATTTATCACGCATAGTCCCAGACTTTGGAAACAAGTGCGTGTCAACATGGCACTGGCCAAGTTAATCACAGTATATCCATACAAGGGAAATTTGTACAGCCATGAAAGAGAAGATCACAGATCTTTGTGGACTGATTTGGAAAGATCTTCAAGATACAGTAAATGAAAAAAAGCAGGTTCAGAATTGGATCGTCTCCAAACGCATTCCTCCTCAGCTATCACCACACTCTGTCTGAGTGACAACAACTGGTATGCGAGAGTGGAAGTGGCAGAGTGACAGAGAAAAGAGAGGGAGTGAAGACTTTGTGACACATCTAGGAACCATGTGTGCTGTGGAATTTACTTGGCATAAAATATTTGCTAGGTATTTAAGAAATGGATAAGCTTTTCATTATAGAAGAAACAGTAGAAGGATAATGGTAAGGAGATTTATCTTGATTCTTTCTGGATTTTGTGTTTTCTAGAATTGCATACAGAAACCTAACTTTAAAATTATAGTTCAGGTAACAGGACTGCAATATTAGTGTTTATGGTTTCAATGCAACAGCTTCTGCATCTCCCCGTCACAGAGTGTCCACACCCTCTACTGCTGTGTTCATGTCACTTCTGGTCCACCTCATCTTTCCCTCCACCCCTGCTGCAGGAGAATCTTGGTTTTGTAATCTAAGGCTAAGGGTTTGCCATCCCTTGATACCAAAACTTGATGTTTTAAATCACTTGTTGCTCTGGTTTGTTTTTTAAAAGAGATAAAATGTGACTTTTATTAGAATTTCTATGTTTTATGAGTAAATAAAGATAAGTATACTTCATCCAATTTTTTTTCTCAATATTAATCTGTTAACTGTTATGATCTGAGGTAATTCACTGTATCACTGTCATCCCATTGTTCGGTGATTTACTCCAGTGGGCGCCAGCAACGTCTCTATTCCTCCCAGCCCTGAGATTTTAGCAGCCTCTCCTTACTTATCTTTCCCAACTATTGGGGGCTGTTTCAGGGTCAGGGGAATGAGATCTGTTATCCTTACTGTTTTTGGCATATCAAATACACCATGGGGAGCTTGCCAGGTTCTGCCCTTGTGGGCGGGATACTCTTGGTAGCTTGCCGTGCTCTCGAGAGGTGTGTGTGTGTGTGTGTGTATGTGTGTGTGTGTGTATACACACACATATATATTTATTTTTTCTCTCTATGATTTGTTGCCTAATGTCTGAACCCCATCAAATATAGTGTGGTAATTATGGAAAATTGGTAGGAAGTATCTTAGGATGTGTCGTGCGGCTGCGTGGTCCAGAAAGAGGCCTGGAGCATGGCTGCAGTTGGGTAGTGGAGGTTGGCTGCCGGGGCTGGGTCCCTTGGGGCAGGGAGGGCTCTCACCCGCCCCACTCCGGGGCCCCCTGAATGAAAACAGCCTGGCGCGGAGTCCTGTGGCATAGCGATGGGAACCTCATTTTATGCTCCCTTCTGGGAGAAGCAGTCAGTGAGTTCTGTAGGTTGTCCGATGAGGAGATTCTCTGGCAGGGAGTGGCTTATGCATGGGACCCCCGGGTCGCTGGAGACTGGGGGAAGCAGGCAGAGGATTTCTGCTCCTGGGCCCGTTGAGCCCAGAGTCTAAGGTCACAAAGTTCCACATTACGCTGCATTACACCATGAGGTAGTTAAAAATTAGAAATCATGGCCTTGATTACTACTAGAAGTGAAATGAAAGTTCTTTTTGTTCAGGAAGAGGAGGAGTTATATTTGTTACACATTTTACTGTTTTGACTACTAGTTTTACATATAGAAGAGGTGTGGGCAAAAATAAATGATTGACAAATGTTGACAAATAAATTGATTGACAAATAAATGATTGACAAATTGATTGACAAATAAATGATTGACAAATCTTCATTCTTTGTTCAGAAAATGGTCCCTTTAGCTTCAAGGTTAGTAAAAGTAGTATTGTTTTGCTGTATGATATGACTTGATTTTTTCTGACATCAAATGTTATGTGGAGAGATCTGATTTTAAATGTGTTTTTCTGAATTAAAGTAGGTATCGATAAAGGATAACTTACAGATACGTGAGAATATTTGCTAAGTGATTTTGCTTTATTTAAGGAACCTTGTGGAAAATACCTTAAGGTCATATCTATTTGTACATTTTCCTCTCAAATATTTTTTTTGCCCCCCAGTATTGTTGGCGCATTGCTTTAACATAATCTCGATATCGAATTTTGATCTATTCTAGACTTTTCAGTCATTTATTTAAGACTTTATAATATTTTTTTCAAAAACGTTTGAATGCACTGAAAAAATAGAAAGAACTTTAAATATGATGAATTTGAAATTACATGGAGAGGTCTGCCTTGAGAAGAGCTACACTTCCTGATAGAACATTACAACCCTTTCTTACGCAACTCTAAATGATCTTGCAAAGTGCGGGACAGAGAGATGGCACTGCAGCTGACCTGGATTTGACCTCCTATAGTCCCCTGAGCCCAGCCAAGAGTGATTCTTGCATGCAGAGCTAGGAGAAAACCTTGATCACCCTCAAAATGGCCCAAGAACAAAATAAAATCCACAGTGGGGTATGGAGCTATTAGGTTATGCTTCGAATATTGGAAATTTTACTGCATGTTTTGGTAACAGTAGCTGGTTTTGAAAGTTTGAAAAACACCGATTATTTATGAGTTATTTGGGTAACCAAAGAAAATAACTGTTGGGATCGAGGTGAAACATTTATAACTTTCAAAGTACATTTTGATCACAGAGTGTTTTGGTCCGTCCTGTCCCGTCCCCCCCCCCCCCTCCTCCCATATAATGTTATTAAAACTGGATGGAAAATATTGAGGTGCAAACATGTGTATATTCATTTTAAGGTTGCCTATTTTGGGTTATAGCTCTATGTTTTAGTATTTGTATTAAACTAGTATACTATTGATGAAAACTTCAAGGCAGTGTTTTCTTGCAGATTCTTTTACCAGCTTGAAATATACTTTTATTTTTTACTTTTTTATGTACATTTTTTTGTTGTTTGGGGTCACATCTGGTGATACTCAGGGCTTACTCCTGCCTCTGCACTCAGGAATTATTACTGGGACGCTCAGGGGACCATACGGGATGCGGGGGTTCAAACCCGAATTGGCCACATGAAACACTGCACTGTTGGCTCCAGCCCCAATATAGTTATTTCACTTCATTTATTTATTTATTTATTTATTTTGCGGCTGCATGGCACATCATGACATTCCCTACCCATTTTCCATAATTAGCGCACCATATTTGATGGGGTTCAGACTGTAGGCAACAAATCATAGAGGGAAATATATCGGAGAGCCCGGCAAGCTACTGAGAGTATCCTGCCTGCACAGCAGAGCCTGCCAAGCTGCCCTTGGCGTATTCGATATGCCAGAAACAGTAGCAATAATGGGTCTCATTCCCCTGACCCTGAAAGAGTCTCCAATGCGGCAGCGTTGGGAAAGATGAGTAAGGAGAGGCTGCTGAAATCCCAGGGCTGGGTCAGATGGAGACGTTACTGGCACCCACCTGAGTAAATCCATGAACAATGAGATGACAGTGATACAGAGATACAGTGATTTATTTATTTGTTTGTTTGTTTATTTATTTATTTTTGGGTCACACCCAGTGATGCCTAGGAGTTACTCCTGGCTTTGCACTCTGGAATTCCTCCTGATGGTGCTTGGGGAACCATATGGGAAGCCGGGAATTGAACCCAGGTTGGCCACGTGCAAGACAAACCTGCTGTATTCCAGCCCCAGTATAGTTACTTTTAATATCAAAGTCATGTCCTTCCTTTCTAGCAAATTGTAGGTCAGACTATGAAATCCAGTTCACCAATGTTCTTTCTCTCTCTTTTTACTGAATCACAGCAAGATACACAGTTACACAGTTGTTTGTGATTGGGTTTCAGTCTAATAATGTGCCAACATCCTTCCCTGCACCAGTGTACATTTCCCACCACCAGTGTCCCCCCAAAACATTTTCTCTGATTCTGTCTGTATACACCATAGTACTAAAGAAGTGCCGTCTCCTGCACCCCTTTCTAGTTCTGTGTAGCCAGTACATTTTGTGGTATGCATCCTGTAGAGAAAGAAAAGACTGACTGATTTCATGTTTTTTTTTCTCAGATATTCAAGATCAAAGCAGTCCAGCTGGCCGAGAAACTCCTTCCTGCCTTTAACACACCTACTGGGATTCCGTGGGCTATGGTGAATCTAAAAAGGTAAATTCAATTTTTTTTTTTTGATTGTCAATCTTGTTCTGAAAGAATATATTAACTGATCTTCGGACTATGTTAGAATTTTTTAAATTATGTAGCCTACCCTATTTTTAAACTAAATTGTTTTTTTTCTGTACATATATGCAGAAGCATTTTATAAAATATTTTCTGCTTAAAAAAACGACACATTTAAAACAGTCACCTGCCTTACCTGTGTTCCAGTTTTTGTTGATCGTTTCTCCCAAGTCTAGATTTCTTTTTTTATTATCAAGCACTTGTTTTTTTTTTAATTTATTGTTCATTTCTAGTTAGTACTATTACTTTACTTTACTATTATGATGCATTAAAAGTATTTTCCTTCTTGATTTTTTTTCTACCAGTACCAACTTCTCTTAAGAGAAATGAGCAAGAATAGCTCGCACTGTCCTCCCGTTGTTCATTGATTTGCTCGAGCAGCCAACAGTAATGTCTCCACTGTGAGACTTGTTCTTACTGTTTTTGGCATAGTGAATATGCCACAGGGAGCTTGCCAGGATCTGCCATACGGGCGGGATAATCTCGGTAGATTGCCGGGCTCTTTGAGAGGGATGGAGGAACTGAACCTGGGTCAGCCTTCTGCAAGGCAAATGCCCTACCCGCTGTGCTACACAAAAATGTGGATTAGGCTTATATCGGAAAATCATAAATGACTCTCTTTTGGTTGGTTTTGTCTTTCTTTAAAGCTATGGTATTTTTCTCTGCTCTCCAAATTTTTAACATGGAGGGTATTTTAATTCATCATAATTGTTATCTTAGCAGTATGAATTTGATTAATGTAACTGGAAAAAGAAAATATGCTTCAATTCCATACATGCTAAAATAATTCCCTAAATTCTCTCAATGACTAAGGGCAGCCAAGTTGGAAAAATGCTTCTGCAACTAGTACTCAAGCAAACTGAAAGGAAAAATGGATGAAAAACTTTATAGTAAAATGAGTTGCAAAAGCAACACTGTGCTTACCGTGTACTAAAATTGGAATGATGCAGAGAAGATTAGCATGGCCCCTGCGCAAGGATGACACACAAACTCGATCTTAATAGTAGGAGTTTCTGTGGCTGAATGTCTTACAAATAGTGGAAGGAAACGTAATTCACAATATTGGTTATAGGGTCTTTAGTATATAATATTTACATTATTGATGTTCAAGTAAAGTAAAGTAAAGGCCCTCCCGTTGATCATCGATTTGCTCGAGCGGGCCCAGTAACGTCTCCATTGGAGACTTTGTTGTTACTGTGTCTGGCATATCGAATACGTCACGGGGAGCTTGCCAGGCTCTGCCAGGCGGGCGAGATACTCTCGGTAGCTTGCCGGGCTCTCCGAGAGGGGCGGAGGAATCGAACTCGGGTCGGCCCTGTTGGCTGCGTGCAAGGCGAACGCCCTACCCGCTGTGCTATCGCTCCAGCCCTATTGATGTTCAAAGTGAAGTCTTAACAGGCTTCACTACCTGTTGTGTTCTAATAGAGAATAACTTTTCATGTAGAAATAGATGCAGTGTTTTTCTTGTACAGCTTTATAAACTATGCAAAGATAGGCAGTTAGTGTTTGAATGCTTTCAAGATATTTTAGCTTGTATTTAATACAATTCTCCTCAGTTTTTCTCCAAATTAAATCTGCCATTATCTTAGTGTGGGAACTTGGAAATTTTGTCTAAATTGAATTGTTACTCTCTTTGCCTTCAGACCTTTTAGAATAAATGTTAGGAGCATCTGTTTTTCAGAAGGCATGATGCTGTGCTGAGCAGCCGAGTACCACACTCCCAGGCCTACTTCGCCAGTGGGCATCCCTACCCTTCTTCCTGCACACCTCCAGAACCCTCTCCGGCTCCACTGGCTGTGGCCCTTGTCTATAAAACAGAAAGAAAGATAATTATTAACACTTAATGTAATTGTTGATTCAGTTTGACTTACGTTGCTTTTTTCTTCATTTCTCTTTTTCTAACCTCCTTTGAGTTTTATGTTTTAGAAGCTTAGTTTATCTGGTAGTGTTTTTATTTTTTTCAGTGTTTTTCAGCTAACAAAGTTAGTATTATACCACTTTATGGAAAGTATGGAAACATTTCACCCGCACCTATCCCCGGCAGCCTCACAGTTGTCACTTACATGCTATAGTTGTCAAGTGAGTCGTATCTGATATTCTGTAGACCACAAAATAAGTTGTTAAAATATTTGCTTAAACACACCTATTTAATTTTGTGAAATGGAGTGGAATAATAGTTGAATATTTACATCTCTCACTAAATATAATGGTAATTTTTTTATTATTTCTTTGATATTTTAACTCACATTTTTCTTCTTTTTGAAATTCTTAACATTTGCATTTTGGAATTTTTATTACTATCATATAGACTCCTAAGGCTGGAGCGATAGCACAGTGGTAGGGCGTTTGCCTTGCACGCAGCCAACATGGCCGACCCGAGTTCGATTCCTCCGCCCCTCTCGGAGAGCCTGGCAAGCTATTCGTGATGTATTCGATATGCCAAACACAGTAACAACAAAATCTCCAATGGAGACGTTACTGGGCCCACTCGAGCAAATCGATGATCAACGGGAGGGCCTTTACTTACTTTTATTTATAGACTCCTAAACTGTTTTTATTTCTTAATCTTTTTCCTTTGCTCTTCAGATTGAATAAAGTCAGTGATCTATCTTCATGTTTACTTACTCTTTCCTGTATTGCTCTAATCTACTCTTAAATCCTTTCGATGAGGTTTTTTTTTCAAGTTTTATATGATGCTTTTTTCATTCTGTCTTTTGAGACCCATCACTCTTTTTATCTTTTCTGAACATATTCATATTTCCATGTACTTCATTGACATGTTAACACCAGTACGACAGTTTGTGTGAGGCCAGTTTGGGTGTATCCTGCACATTCTGAAAATTATGTCGTAGAATGTGTGTGTGTGTGTGTGTGTGTGTGTGTGTGTGTGTTTGTGTGTGTGTACTTTGTCTAATTGTGTACTTCGTTTAATTTAATTTTCTAACTGAAAACTCTCACAGTTTCTTTATCTAGGTTGCTTTGAGTGTGTTTTTTTGTGTTCGTGATTTAATAGAGCAACCAGAAATATTAGCTCAGATGAATGAAGGACTTACCCTCTTTGTCTCTGTGCTCCAGATTTTCCCCTACCTATTTTTTGTCAACGGTTGCAATTGTAAACAATGGCTTCAGATTCTTCCAGAAATAAAAGCCTATAGGTTTTCTGTCGATTTTTGTTTTATCCTTGTTGACTTTGTATTGGGCCAGAAACTTTAATAAAATAAAAAACTTACTCTATGCTTGCCAATTTTTCTTCCTTCTTTCTTTCTTTCTTTCTTTCTTTCTTTCTTTCTTTCTTTCTTTCTTTCTTTCATTGAATGACTTGAGACAAACAGTTATAAAGCTCTTCATGATTGGGTTTCAGTCATACAGTGTTCCAAAATCCAACCTTCCACCAGTGTGCATTTCCCACCACCAGTGTCCTCAGTTTCCCTCCTGTTACTCCCCCCCCCCCATATTCCCCACATCCCCCCAGCCTGTCTCTACTGTTCTCTCCCTTTCCTCCTCTCCCTCCATCCCTTTTTCTCTCCCCCCCCCCCCCGCCCCCCACACCCTTGAGGGCATTATGGTTTGTAATACAGATACTGAGAGGTCATCACATTTATTCCTTTACCTACTTTCAGCATGTAGTTCTTATTCAGAGTGATCATTTCCAACTACCTTTGTCATAGTATTTGGCAGTTTTTCAAATTTTCACTATCCTTAGATCAAACTATTTTTGTTCATTTTTAAATGACTATTACCTTTTTTTAAAATTTTGTTCAGAATTCATGTTTTTCTTCTGCAGGAGAATTGAGTTCAATTATTAAATTTTTTTTATCACAGTGAGAAGAGAAATTAGAAAAAATTTATTTTATTCTTGCCTTTTTGATATTTTTATTTGTGGGTTTGGGGGTTACACGCAGCTGTGCTTCAAGAGAACTCCTGACTGCGCACAGGAATCACTTTTGATGGTGCTTGGATTGGGGGGGACCATGTGTGGTATAAGTGATCAAACCATGCAGGTTAAGTGCCTTAACTTTGTACTCTTTCTTAAATCCATGTTGTTGAGGACCTAAATAATTTATTTTGTATTGCTTGTTATGAAAACTCCTCTAAAAATGATCCAAAAAAGTTTCCTTGGAGGAAAGTGTGTGAAGACTGTTGTATTTCACCCTGAAGTCATTAAGCCCTTGTATAAGAGATTGCTAACATGTTGTTAAAGGTTAAGTCTTGTATGCATATATATATATATTTTTTTTTTCCTTCTGAGATTGATGGCCTTCTAACTTACTTTACACCCCATTAAATTTGGTGTGCTACTTTTGGTATGTCAGTATGTAGAGTATAAGATGTCACAGCCCTGTGCTCCAGAAATTATAAAATTTCAAGTATGGTTATACAGATGAGGTTAATTTAATTTTTCTTAACTGGATGGTCTCTTTGGGATCCAGAGGCATCACTGTGGAGTGTCGCTCTCAAGTGTTGCTGTCTTCCGCTCTGGCCACTAAGGGCTTATATGGTGCCAGAGGCAGTTTGTGGGCGTGACTAGCCAGGCCACCTGGAGCACCTTATCTACTGGACTATTAGCACCTATTGTTTGGATTTTCAAATGTGTCACTGTGTTACCTATTCAGAGCAATTTTAAAATAATGAAAGTAAAGTTTAGGTATAAATTTAGTATTAATGGAGATGTAATAATTTCGAAAAGATTTCATTAAAATGTATAGAATGAACCCAAAAAATCTTTGTCTTTTTCAACGTGTGTGCTTTTTACCTTTACTTTGATTCAGCGGAGTCGGCCGAAACTGGGGCTGGGCGTCTGCAGGGAGTAGCATTCTTGCTGAATTTGGAACACTGCACATGGAGTTCGTCCACCTCAGCTACTTGACAGGGGACCCTGTTTACTATCAAAAGGTTTGTTCCTTGCACTCTAGGTGCTGTTACAAAAGAATCCTTGAAAACTTACATAAAGCATTGAGTAGGACTTGGAAAATGTGTGACATTCTCAGAATACATCTTTGAGGACTTTGGTCATTTCCATTGTTATTTTAAAATTCCTTTTTATTTGGAGCATATTTAAGCTTACCACTTATTAAAGAAGTTGTAACTATTAGTAGGTTTTTATTTTTTAGTTTTTTTGGGTTGGGGGACATAACCAGCTTTCTCCTGGCCCAGGAGTCAGTCCTGGTGGCGAGATGTGTCCTGCTGGGGATTGAACCTGGGTCAACTATGTAAAGCAGATGATAGCTTAACGGCTAGAGTCATTTGGTAGGTTAAGCACAAGGTTCTGAGTTCAAACTCCTGTATTGCCACACGCTTCATGGTAATATGAGGTTCTTACTATTTGTAAATAAACTACAGCGTCGCTCATAAATTTCTGAGATAATTAACAGCCCAGCTCTTCTGGATATCCAGTGAGAAGGGACCCAGAGATGGCTCAGTAATCAGGGCAAGTTGAGGTCCTGGGCTTCATGCCCAGCCAGTGCTGTCTGGGAACTGAGGTTATCCTGGGGGTCTCCATGAAGGAAGGGAGAAAAAACAAAGATATTTGACACTTACAAAATAAAAAATGTATCAGAAAAAATACTGGAAAAATGAAGACTGTATTTTTGACTGCCAACTTAAAAATAAATGCCAGTAGAGCGCTGTTCTCTTAAAGCAGTGGTTTTAAATTTTTTATACCTACGGGTTGATATTGGTCTGCTCACTGGTCGTGGAAAATCTCTTAAGAAAGAGGAACATCATAAACCACCAAAGTCTTTATTAACTAAGAGCAAGTGGACTGGATTAAGACCAAGAGAACAGTCAAGGAGGCATAGGCGGTTGCTTCCTTGGACCAAATATGATGTGCTGAGAAGCTGTGAAAACAAAACCCAGACAAACCATTATTGCCTACAAACTTGGGTGAGGCAAGAGAATGAATTAACTGATATTTTGTTGTAAGCAGTGCTCTATTATTGGTCTCAGTTATCTGGGGTGATGCAAGGGTCAGCCAAATTCATTCATTCATATCTCTATTCTGCCAGGTCTTTCATGTTAAATCCATCTTGTGATTAGCTCTCTCAAGAAAAATAGTAAGGAGGAATTCATCAAAAAAGAATTTAGGGGCTGAAGAGAGAGTATAGTGGTTAAGACTCTTGCCTTGCATGTGGCCAAACCACTTGTGATCCCCAGGACCCCATATGGTCCCCTGAGCTCTGACAGTGATCCCTGAGTGCAGAGCCAGGAGTAAACCCTGAGTTCAGTTGGATATGGCCTACTTCCTGCTGCTCCCCACCCCCTGCCCAAAGAAATAATTTATGCAAAATAGTGCAGGGTAAAAAAAAGGATGGAAAATAAAAATTAGATGTGGCTTAAATTGCTGATCAGATAACTGTTGAAAATCTGTGATTAAACATCATCACGAAGAAGAAGATAATACACTGTAGAATGAGTGTGTAAGCAGAGATAGAAGTGCTCAGATCAGTAAGGTATAAAATCAATGAAAAAGTATAATAGGAAACAAAGTTAGTGCTAAAGTGAAGATTAGAATCCAACAAATGCTGATAGTCCGCAGAGAAAGTACGACCAGCAGGGCATTTGCCTTGCATGCACGGAACCCAGGTCCTGCCAGGAAGTGATCCCTGAGCACAGAGTAAGGAGGAAGCCTTGAACACAGATGTGACCCCAGAACAAAAGATTACATCAACCAACACTGAGAAAATATTCAAACTACAAAATCGAGACAAGATTGAGGAAAAATTAGCCATTTATATTAAAATACAAAAGGCGAAAAGTAGGAAGGCAGACCAGAGAGATGGCATCTCAAGGAAGTTGCTTCCCTTGCATGCTGCTGACCTGATTTAGTTTCTGGTACCACACGTGGTCCCCCTAACTCCACCAGGAGTAATCCCTAAATACAAAGCCAGTAGTAGGACCCGAGAACTGCCAGGGATGCCCACCCTAGTTTCTCCCTAAAAAAGAAACCTCATCCCACTGATAACATTCATGAAGGTGGGGGAGGTGGTGTATGCTTTCATAAAATAAAAACGCAAAGGCTAAATTAATGTAAAGTCTTGGTTGCACTTATTTCTGTTAATTGTGTTCTTCATTTTATTTCACTCAGGTCATGCACATTCGGAAACTGCTTCAGAAAATGGATCGTCCAAATGGACTTTATCCAAATTATTTGAACCCAAGAACTGGCCGGTGGGGTCAATGTAAGCATTTCTAGTACAGTTGATGCTTTGTTTAAAAGTCATCGCTTTGTAAAACTTTTACTTCATATGGTGAAAAAAAAGTGTATCACAGGCAGCATTAGAGACTGAGCATTAGAGACTAGCATTGTTACCTTTGTCAAGTTTCTCGTCTCTTACAATAGAATTTTTTACTTAGGAAGGAATGTAAATATTAATAACCTGTTTTATAAGAGTATTTCATTTCTTGGTATGTGCATATGTGCGTTTGTGTGTGTGTGTGTGTGTGTGCCTTTTCATTTTTTTAAACAAATCTTAACTTCATTTGAATAGTGTCATTGCTTGGAGTGAGCATTTCTTAAAGGAATATAAAGAACAACTGGGCATATTAAATAATGAGAAGAAAGAGGATCAGTGCAAAGATTATCATTCATCTTTGGGGGGGGGGAAAGGGAGCCCAGAGGAGCCAGGGGTCACCCTTGGCAGTACTCAGCCACGACAGTTCAAGGCAAGACAGTTCAGTGCTTAGGTCAACAGTGGTGGGGCCCACCAGGGCTGTACCGAGAAGTGCTGAAGTGTAATGAGGTACTAGAGATCAAAGGTGGACCTCTGCACGTACAAGGTGTGTGCTCCAACTGTTATCTTCCCAGTACCAGCCACTCAATTAAGAAGATGGTAAGAAAGCCTGTTTTTTTTGTTTTTTTTGTTTTTTTTTACCAGACTCTGTGCTTTGTATTTTGGGCATTACTAGTGAGAAAGTAAGAGAACATGATTTAGAATGAATTAGAGAACTTCAGGACTAGCGTGAAGGGCACACAGTCTTTTTTTTTTTCCTGCTTTTTGGGTCATACCCAGTGATGCACAGGGGTTACTCCTAGCTCATGCACTCAGGAATTACCCCTGGCGGTGCCCGGGGGACCATATGGGATGCTGGGAATCGAACCTGTGTCGGCCACGTGCAAGGCAAACGCCCTACGCACTGTGCTGTCACTCCAGCCCCGGCACACCATCTTAATAGCTGAAATGTTAATGTGATAAATGTTACAGTAAAGGAATGAATGTACCAGTTACTGTGCGAAACTGACAGAAGAGATTTCCTCTAAAGAGAAAAGTGGTTTTTGTTGTTGATTTATTTTGTTTTTTATTTTGTCTGGTTTTGGGTTTTTTGGCCACACCCAGCGGTGCTCAGGGCTTACTCCTGGCTCTGTACTCTGGGATCCTCCTGGTGAACTCAGGGAACCAGATGGATGCCGGGGATCTAACAGGGTCAGCCTTGAGCAAGGCAAACACCTTACCTGCTGTACTATTGCTTGGCTGCTTTATTGATTGTGGGGATGGACACAGCTGACTGTGCTGAGGACTTACTCTGGGCTCTGTGATTAGGATGACTCCTGGCCATACTTGGGGGCCGTTTGTGGTATCAAGGATTGAACAAAGGTTGGTTGTGTGTTGGTATATGCCTTAACCACTAGACGATCTCTTCAGCCCCGAAAATGTTTTACTCGAGGGGGTGTGTTTTTTCTTTTTTAAGTTAAGAGATTGGAAAATTAATCATTGAGGAAATTGGTTTTTTTAAAAAATGTGTTCATAGGGGAAAGGGTGTTGCCCCATTCGCCCTCTCCTCTCTGGAAAGAAAGATGGCGGCCACATGGGAGCCTTGTGGACAGCAGGTATGAGCCGGGAGTGTGGGGGCGACTAAAACCTCATGGGAAGGGGGGCGTTTCGCTCCGCCCTTCACGCCCTACCGAGGCCACCAGTTGCCCCCCACAAGCGGCTCTCCAGCACGGCCACGACTCCAGAACACAGAAACCAATTTCTTAACTATCTGACTTTCAGTAGAAATACTTCCAGGGTCAATAAGTAAAATAGCAGAAATCCAAAACCAACATTTTATTCTTGAACCCAGCTGGAGAAAGCAAATCACTTCACAATGCTTTTTCAGCATGTCTGATTGGGGGGGGGGGGGGTAAACTCTAAATAATAGTGGTGAATCTTTTATTGAAACAATCTAATCAAAACGGATAGAGTGTTAACTAGAATTCATCTGCCTCACAGGGACGGGGAGGGGTGGGGGGTGGGGTTTTATTGGGGTTCTTCATGGGAAAAAATAAGTATTGGTAAAGGGAAATGTGTTTGATATTTGCATGACTGAGACATAAACCTGAAAGCTTTGTAACCTTTCCCACAGTGATTCAATAAATAAAAAAAAAAAAAAAAAATGTGTTCATATAGAAATACAAATCTTACAGAATTTTAGTAAATCTCTGGTCTGTTGATGGCATTTTCTCCTAAAAGATAGGAAAAGAAGCAAATAGTAAAAGTTGTGAGTTTGTCCCTACACTATAGCATGTTTAGATTGTTCTTGAAATTAATGAAAGACTGGTTAAAGAAACTATGGTACATCTATACAATGTGATATATGCAGCTGTTAGAGAAAGCAAAGTCATGAGATTTGCTTATAAGTGGATGAACATGGAGAGTATCATACTGAGAAAACTTAGTCAGAAGGAGAAGGACAGACAGAATGACTGCGTTCATTTGTGGGATGTTTAAAAAAAAAAACATAGTATGAAACTAACACCCAAGGACAGTAGAAACAAGGGCCAGGGTGAGTGGTCCACAATTGGAAACCTGCCTCAAGGGTTGGGGGGAGAGGGCGGTTGGAACAGAGAGGGGACCATTTTGACAGTGATGGATGGAAGGGATCGCTCTGCATGGGAGAGGTGTGCTGCTGAAAGTGGGCAAAGGACCAAACACGATGGCCTCTCAGTATCTCAATTTCAAACCATAATGCCCAAAGGGGGGACGAGGGGAAATGAGAGGGGGGGGAGAGGGGGGGGGAGGGAGGGAAGGAGCGGGGGAGGAAGAGAGATGGGAGAGGAAGAGGGAGGAAAGAAAAAGAAAAAAGAAGAAAAATGCCTGCGCAGGCTTGGAGCGGGGGACACTGTCAGGAGGGACAGTGGGGGCACCGGTGGTGTGGCCTGTGCTCTTTAACAAAGTGCTGGGAAGTGGCTGATTGTCTATGAAATCATGAACATCTTTTCTAAGTTTCTCTGAAAAGTGTTTTGTGGATTTTCACAAAGTTAAACGTAGAGGGACTAGAGAGAGAACATAGGGGCACATATCGCTTACCTGTGGCGAACCAGTAGTCCCCCTCGCATCCCCACCCGATACAACCCAGGGTTCTGCAGCCACTGCCTCTGTGGCGCAGGCGTCCCCCCGCACTCCAGGGCCCAGTAGTGCTGCAGCCTCAGTCCTTTCCATCCCACTCAGCTCATCATCATCAGGAGGTGAAATTCGAACTTTTGGGGAGCCCCTCCCCTCCAAGGGGCTGGAGCGATAGCACAGCGGTAGGGCGTTTGCCTTGCGCGTGGCCGACCAGGCCAACCCGAGTTCGATTCCTCCGCCCCTCTCGGAGAGCCCGGCAAGCTACCGAGAGTATCTCGCCCGCACGGCAGAGCCTGGCAAGCCACCCGTGACGTATTCGATATGCCAGACACAGTAACAACAAAGTCTCCAATGGAGACGTTACTGGGCCCGCTCGAGCAAATCGACGATCAACGGGAGGGCCTTTACCTTTACCTCCCCTCCGGAATTAAACACAGGGCTCCACGTTACCAGAAGTTCACCTCCTAGGGCTGTAACCAAAGGATTGAAAATGGAATCAATCAGATACTTGTTTGTCACTATTCAGATGTCGTCATTCCCAGTAACCAAAAGGAACAGTGACTGTCAGAGAGAAAGATACATCAGACGTCATATAGCTACAAAATGGAGTTTGATTCATTTGCAGAAAGGAATGAAGTTCTGACACGTGCTGTAATATAGGTGAACCTTAAAAACATTGAGTGAAATGACACACGGAAGAAAAAAGACAGCACTACTTATCCAATGTCGAGTGGTCATACTTACAGACAGAATATAGATAAGACCCGACTGGGTTGTGAGCGGGGACTGCAAAAAAATTTGTATTTAAATAGGCACAGAGTTCCTATTCAGGGCTCTGAAAAAATTTTGAAAATAGTGGTGATGGACGCACAATAGTGTGCATCCAGTTGATGCTGCTGGATGGGGCACTTCAAAACGTGTAAGCGCTGGGGATGGAGCTCAAGGGATGGAGACAGCCCTGGTGCAAGGGCACGTTCCGTCTTTGTCACCAAACGTTCACGGGCCTCACAGCGGACAACAACGACAGCAAAATGGCTAGGTTAGTGGTTTTCATGTTACATATATTCTGCCACCATAATTAAAAAAATATAGAGCCACATTACTTTTGCCATAGAATAAATTCAGATTACTTCTTCAGAATCTGTTCACTCTCCGCAGTAATTTGAGAATTTATAAAAAGAACTATTTACTGGTTATTTTGGCAGTCTTAGAGTTGCTTGCTACCCTGATATCCCTTGTAGCAGCTGCAGTCCTTATTAAATTGTCCAATTTGTTCCTTTTTACTGTTTTTGTATATTTTATATCAGCTTCTGAAAAGTTTATCAAATTCCATTATTATCTTTGAGCAGTGTACATCTGTCATGTCTATTAATAGTCTGCAAAACAGTGAATTTTACTGAAATTTAACAATTCGGCTTTGGCTAACTGTATTATAATTAGAGTAATGATAATGTCTGTGACATGCACATAGCTATCACAGAGAATAATTGCTGGTAATTACTTTGGCAACAGATATAAAGGAATATAGGGCTGGAGTGATAGCACAGCGGTAGGGCATTTGCCTTGCATGCAGCCGGCCGGGCCGACCCGGGTTTGATTCCTCCGCCCCTCTCGGAGAGCCCGGCAAGCTACCGAGAGTATCTCGCCCGCACAGCAAAGCCTGGCAAGCTACTTGTGACATATTCAGTATGCCACACACAGTAACAAGTCTCAAAAAAAATGGAGACGTTACTGGGCCCGCTCGAGCAAATCGATGAACAATGGGAGGACAGTGCTACAGTAAGGATCCTAAATTTGAAGGTACATCATTAGTACTTCTCTCCTTTTTTGCTCTTTTTTTCCCCACAACTTTGTCT